TTATGTATTATAATCAAAACGTTTTTTTCTTGAGTGTGTGTGTCTGTGTGTGTGTTAAGGGATAATAATATTAACCTGTTTGGATACTTGCTATGTACTAGGCATTCTGCTAAGCATTGTATATGAAAGATGAAAGTTTATCTTCAACAATAATCCTGTGAGGTAGGAATGAATGTTCTTGTTTGACAGATGAGAAAGGGAGGCACAGAGAGGTTAAATACTTTGCCTAAGATCAAATGGCAAGTAAGTAGTGAAGTTGGAATTTGAAATCTCTGGATTGAAAATGAAATATCTGAACCAAATGCTAACCAGGCTGTGTTCTTTGGCTCCTCGAGTATGATGATTATGAGCAAGAAAGTCAAAGTCGTGCTGCAGATTCACCCGCCACCAGTCCTCAGGTTGCACAACCCACAGGGTGCTTTTATACCTAGAGTTAGGTTGCATGGCGGCTCTGCTGACATAAATACTCATTCTGAAAAGGAGCCCCTCAAAATGCATGCCTCTTTCGAGTATAAGTCAGCAACCATGTGGAATGAACCACAAAATGACACAATGGAATGTGAACATCACATAAGAAGTAAATTATTACTCCCTCGTGCTCTGCACTGACTTTACAGCTCTTCCCTATGCATTGATGTCACAGCTCTTAGACTCATAAAAAAGGAAGGACAGGGTCTTAAAGAAAACCCCTTCCAGGGTTCTCAGGGCCAAAAAATCCCTGGAAGGCCTTGGCTGAGGAGACCAGGTAGACCTTGAGGATTGTTCCCTCTTCTCACTCAGAGTCATAAAACATAAAAGCTGGAAGGAGACCAGGTAGATATTTTTCTCCAGATTTTGGTTGCCCCATTTATGAGACAAGAGACCTGAGGAGGACACACGGATAGGCAGTACCTCACTTGTTTCAGTACTTTGGCATGGTGCTTGCAGCTTGACACTCTTTCATATGTAATGTCTTATTGTCATAGAATGTAAAAAATGGGCTTGTGGAAATGAACTGATTATCCTAAGTTTGCATATCTACTAAGTTCAGAGGTAGCACCTAGGACCTCTGCATTATCAGTCATTTTTTCTACTGGATGTGCAACCATCATATAAAACATCTCTAAACTTAAAGAGAGACATCAGTATGGGGAGCCAATTTTGAGTAGTGGCCAGAGCTGGGATAGTCTATCCCTACACAAATATAGGCTGACTAGCTGTATGACTATGGCCAGCCACTCAACTTCTCTCAGCTGTCTTTTTCTCATCTGCAAAATAACAATAATAATAGCTTTCTCATGAAACTAATGTAAAGATGACATGGTTATTCCTACATCACATAGAGTGGTTTTCATGTAGTAAATGTTCAAGAAATGTTAGAGCTTGTTCTCCTCAATATCCTCTGTCAACACTCAAAATATTCAAGAGCAGCTAGAACAAAGGATCTGTATAATTGGTTAGGAATAATCAAGATATCCACAGAAATAGCTAACCAAGACTGCAGTATGGCCTCTGATCAGTCTTCTCCATGAAGAAGCCTCCACAGTTAGTTACTCCCCTCTTTTTGTGACTTTTCAGGTATTCCTGTTGGCATGTAGTAAGGCAGAGTATGGCTTTTTAGCCTTTCCCAAGCCTCCCTATTGAAATCCTTCAGATAAAACTCTGTCTCTGCTAACTTTGATATGCTCATATAGTATGTGTATGGGTTTTAAAGAGAGAATATTTGAAAAGAATATAGGCTATAAGATAGGCCCATCTTCTGAGGCTATAGACTTTAGTACATCCTTATGTCTATTGCTCTCAGGTTTTCCAATAGAACTAGCAAACAATACGTAGTCATGGGATGTGGAGTACAGCAGAGGCAATAGAGTCGATAGAGTTGTAATAGATATATATGGTGCCAGAAGGGCAATAGATTGGGAGAGGGAGGTTATCACTTTTTGAGGGGTGAAGTGTCTAACTATTACATTGTTTTGTACACCTGAAACTAAAAAAAAGAAACCCCAACTATAAAAAAAAAAAGAAATGGGAAACAGTTCTGAGAGGTTGAGTTGTACATGTCAATGATCAATCATAGACTCTAGTTAAGAAAAAGGATAGCTTTTATGGATTCGTGACCACAGAAATGATCATAAGTGAAAGTATTTAGTAAACTGCCAAGAATATAATAAATTATAACCAGATTTTGTAGCAGAAGACCTTTCAGTGTGTCTGCCCAGCCCCCATTTCACCACCCTTCTAAGAACTGTTCACCAAAACAAATGGGTGGGCTTTTGTAACTACATTTATGGGTACTGATGGACACTTCTTTTACTGGTCATAGTTGATTGGATCAGAGATGAAGAGTGGACCCAATGTGGGCCAATGAGATTTTCTCCTAGGAACTTGGATCTAGGGCGCCAATCAATTAGTTGGAAGCCTTGATGCCAGGAGGTGATTTGCTTCTACGACTGAGCCCATAGTGTTCCACCATCTGCAAAAGGAGCTGGTGTGAAGAGAGAAAAAAATAGAATGGGCACTTGGAAAGAAGTAGAGGCAAGTGATCCCCCAGTCATAGAAAGATTGGCAATAGCTCCCTTGTTTCTTATGGATTGTTCAGTCCCTGTTTCCTTTTTTCCCCAGAGCCTAAGGGTTGTTGAGTTCTATGAGATACACCTAGGTCCTTCCAACAAATTCTTGTTTTGACACGTGTGAGTCTGTTTGTTACTTGTATTAAAAACCTCCATATTGAGGCAGTGTCTGTAATGATCAAGTGGTCAAGGTTATTATTCAGCCACTCTGTATAGGCAGTGTCTTATGGGGAAGGATGAGTTTCTCATGTAGCAATCCTAGGGAGCAGGGCATCTGCCAGGATATAGCTATAACAGTCTCTTTGTTCAAATTCACCTGCCCCGTAGTTCTATTTTCCCTTCCGTGTATATGCATTCTCCCCAACTAAACTGGAAGCTCTTCTAGGGAGATAACTCTCCTTATTCATCTTTTCATTCCCTGTAGCACCTGGACTGTGATGCTATTGAATTTGCTGATGGTGTTTATGTAAAGAGAAAAAGAAAAAAAACCTTTCTGCTTCAATAATTTTCTATTTGGGCAAAATTCCTCTTGCTTTGATTTAGGAAATAATCGCATCTTTCTTTTTATTCTTTTTTTCCTGTCTTTTTGTTGTTGTTGTTGTTGTTGTTGTTGTTGTTGTTGTAACCAGTCCCTCATCTCAGCTTTGTGTCAATGAGGAGATAGGTTTATTTAGTCAGTAATTTCCACTGCAGAAAATCTTGGGCCCAGATTGCCCTGCAAAAGCAATATGTTCTGTTTTATTTTTATATTACATTATATTTATTTTAATTTCATTCTCCATCTGGTCAAAGATAGCATTAGGCACCATAGATAAAGAAAAGGAAAAAGAGATATCTAACCATGATAATAACTGGGATTATTACTTTAAAAAATCATTCAGGGGTACTATAGTCTCCGGGCATAAGGCAAAAGACAATAGCCCTTATATTAGCGAGTTCTAGAAAGATTCTGGAGAGGAAGTGAGAGGAAGAAAAAAAGGACTAAATCAGAACTCCTGGGGTCCCCTGCATGGCCCAGAGAGGTCTCTTGCACCCAGCCCACACCTGGGACCAGTTCTAGGATGGCGTGGGCCATGGTGTAGAATGATGATACATGTAACCCCTAAGCTATCTTGAGCACTCTTACTATTTCCAAAGTAGATTCAGCAGGTTAATGCACAGTTTCAATTACATGTTTTATTAATAAACTTTAGAACAGACAGATCCACATGGGAGAGGTCATTTTCTTCCCGTTTCAGGAGATGCTTCTGCTAAACTCTACTAGCAATTGGAGGTCTCCCAAATGAAGCTGATATGTCAATGATTTAGTATACCAGAAGTCAAATCCTAAAATTGGATGCCTGCAGTGGATGGCTAGGCACTCAGCTTTAAAGTTAGGATGCTGTATGAGGGGTTATCAGGGATGCTTAATTCTCTATTCTTGCTTTTAAATCTGAACAAATCATGGGACTAAAGGGGAGGGTTTACACGTGAAAGTTTGCCAAAGATGAGTGGGTGGTGACATTCCCTGACTATAATCCATTCTTCCTCCCACTCCTCACAGGCTATCACTTAGGACAGTTTATGTTTCAGAAAACAAAAACCCATTTGAAACTGGCTTAAACAAATAATGGAATTTGTTCACATACTGACAGGTTCGCGGGTATATGGCTTCCTATGTGGTTTGATGCAGAGATTCAACATAGTCTCAGGGGTTCCATTGATTCAAAAGCCTTTTTTCCACCTTTAAAGTCAGATCTTTTCTTCAGGCTTGTCCCAGGCTCAGATTCCAGAAATGATTTTACAGCTCCAAACATCGCATCCTTTCCCCATGCCAGTCAGAAAAAGAGAAAGCTTCTTTCGTAGTCTTTCATAAAAGCAAGGAAGCATTTTTCTCTAAAACCCTAAGGGAAAGTCTCCTTGCATTTTATTGGCCCAAATTGGGTCATGTACTTATCTCTAAGGCAATCCTTGTACCCGGAAGGGGCGGATGGGCTTTGCAGATTGGTCGAAGCTTATCAGGGCTCACCCCTGGAACAGAGAGTGGGATCACTTCCCCTGGGAGTAGGGCTTTTCCCCAACGGAAATCTGGGACGCTATCATCATGGAAAAGGAGGAAATGGATACAGGCAGCAAAATCCCAGGTACCTACTACAATATTCGAAGCCATAATAAGTACCACTGTCTACCTCTTGTCCTTCATAGGCCCCTTTCATGTGACAGTTACTACCCTTGATGCCAATTTCAACATATTTTGCAGAATAATGAAAAGCAAATACAATAATAAAATGCAGAAAAAGACAACTGGTATTCATCAGGTATGGGATTTTGTGTTCTCTGAGGTCTGATAGGAATTATCCTTGAAAGAGCATGCTAGAAAAAGGAAGATGGATTTAATAATTAGAATCGAAGAAGGCTGTCATCCTACACACAGTTGGTGACCCCCCACCACCACCACCCCATCCCTCTTACCAGTCTCAGGGGCCTTTCCCCAGCTGCTGTCAACGTTGGCTGCTAACAGCTTAGTCATCCTGTTCTCCAGAGAACTTACTGTTGGCTGATGAGAGCGACCTTGCACAGGAAGTTAACCCTGTCTTCCTCACTGCCCCCAGCCAATCGCTGACCGATGGAATACAAACATCCCACCCCCTTTCCTAAAGCTAAGACAAAGCTGCGGTGCAGTTTGTCTCCTGAGCCCTCTGCCTCTGCCCAAGGTTTAGACGTTAGCTGAGACCACCTCCTTGCTCAGCCCATTCCCCTTCCTCCCTATTCCCTCCCTCCCTATGGCTTCTTCCTAAAGAGCATCCCCTCAGTAAATTACACCACCCAAATCTCTGTCTTGGGCTCTTGTCCTAGAGAACCTGACTTAAAACAGAGGCCACTTCGTATAGAATAGGAAAAGTGAAGCACAAACTGACAAACAAATGGGAGTTAGGAGTCTGGGCTCAAGGTTGGTTTGGGGAACTAATGGGTTACAAGAGTTGGAAGGTACTTAAACTATTAGAACTTTGCTGTTTCCAAATAATAGAACACACCCCCTCAAGTGACTTAACTGTAAAAGGGAGGATGTTTTACACAGAATTGGGTGCCACAGAGGACCTAAGGGCTGCAGGCAAGCCTCAGTAGAAGCACATTCACATCTCTGCACCTGTTTCACTGTTTTCTCCTCTGCTTCCCAGGCCACATGAGGGAGAAAGACAGTCATGCCAGAGCTCTGAATATTTCTCTCTTGTATCCAGGAGTCTGGATTGGACTCCAGTGTCCCAATGTTTTATTACAAGATTGGACCACTTGTATCATGTAAGCCCTGGACCAATCAATCAGAGCCAGAGAACAAAGGTTTGGGGTGGATGTAGCATTATACAAACATGCCTTGGAAGCCTTCCCTGTGACTACATGAAAGAGAAGAGACAGTTCTCCAAGAAAGGCCACTGGTTGGATAACATGATGGGTGGCCACGATACTAACGAAAGTGACGTGCCCAGAGAGTGTCATTCCATGAACTCCACCACGCTGAAGGTGATTTCTAGCTCTGTTCTAGTCACAATAGTTACTGATGATGGAGGTGGTGTACTGATTGGATTCAGGGGATACTTCAAGCTAGGAGAAATAGCTAATATGTTAGTTGACAAAATAGGGATATGGAAGGAGTTTGGTAGACTTAAATAGTATTCAAAACAATAAGGTTATAGGTAGTGGGTTAAATAAAGAAACTTTAATTAGGTTAATAATTTAGTTTATAATAATAGGGAGAAACCTCATTTGACAATGGTTAGTAAAAAAAGAAAGAACCTAGGAATTTTGGTTGACAGTGAGCTTGTTGTAGCAGGACTTGGCTTTTAACAAAGTTTTCGCCACCTTAGGCCACATTTAACTGAATGTTTCCATGTCAGAGTAGATGCCAGAGGCATGGGAGAAGGTAGATTCTGCTGCACTTGCACTTGTCAGACCAGAGGTTTCCAGTTCTAGACTCCATACTTTAAGGCCTTAGAAACCTGAGCTCAGGAAGTACAGGAAAGCATATTTATTTAGCAACTACTACTTACTAGATGCAACAGACAGAGGGCTTTTAAAATACATTTCCCAGGTTAGATAGGTTATCTGGAAATACAATCTTATAAGAAATGGAATCAAGAGTGTTTTGACCAAGGAGAGAAGACCTCTAGAAGTAATGGGATAACTGGGTTCAGATATTCAATAAGTTGTCATGTGAGAGATGAAATGGGGCTAGTTTTTGCCATTCAAGAGAGTAATAGAAGTATATAAAGTTTTGAGTTGAGAGAGGCAATGGCAGATTTGTGCTGAGTAAGAAGGAGCTGGCTATTGATTAGGGATGTACTATGTCAGTTAATAGGTTTTCTTCCCAAGAGCCTCCACAGTCCTTGCAAGTGTCCAAGAAGAAACTGAAGGTTAACAATGAGATTACTAGCTACCATTTGTTGAATACAGTCGTCCCTCTGGATCTGCAGGGAATTGGTTCCATGATCCTCCTCGGATACCAAAACCCACAGATGCTCAAGTACCTCATATAAAATGGTATAGCATTTGTATATAACCTACGCACATCCTCCCGTATACATTAAATCATCTCTAGATTACCTATAATACCTAATACAATGCTCATGCTATGTAAATACTTGTTATACTGTCTTGTTTAGGAACTGACAGGAAAAAAGTCTGTACCTGCTCAGTACAGATGCAGCCATCATAGGTCTAACTACATAGGGTTAGGGTTAGGGTTTGTTTTTTTACTGGGTTGTATGTTTTTTTATAGAGTTCCATTCCTAAACTACTAGAGTTTGGACCAGATGATTTTAGATGTTGTTCCTAGTCCTGTGCATTTAAGCTTAAAAAACAACAGAAGAAAATGCTTATTGCAGATCTGGCAGCTGACTCAATGCAAATGTTACTTTCAACAGGAACCACATAAAAACCTGGGTTGGTAACATGCTCATGTAAAATATGTCTCAATATCTTTCCCACCAATCTTCCTGTACTGGCCTGTGAAACTTGTCTCATGCTAACATCCAGATATTGAAAAACTGCAGGCTTGCACATCCTGGAATGGTGTGATGTGGGTTTTCCTTGTGAACCCAACTCTATACTTCTCTCTCTGATGGAGGAGAAAGAACATTGCCCCACATGCTTGCCGAATTTGAATGAGGTGCTTTTTGGGTTTGTACCACTTCTGCACAATGGAGACACCTTTTTTGGTGAATAACTTGTATAATCCTGGCAACACTTCCTGTATCTTCCTGGCTGATATTTACAAGTTTAAATATGGCTAATGATATAACATTTCTGCCAGATGGTCAGCAGAAACCACACATGGATTCAGATATTTGAGCATCAGACAAATGCTTGATTCCTTTGATTAAGCCTCAAACATAAAGCCATTTTTGGAAAATAATTTACTTCTGAGGATTCATAAATATTATAAGAAGTAAATAGAAGTGACCTGTGCAGATAAAACAAGAATGAGCTTGGCGTGGACCATGCATTCTTCTCACCAGCATTGGTAACTGGTGTCTTTTCAGGGCTGGTCCATGTCTTAGGGCTCTATTTGTGTGTTCTGTCTGCAACACCTGTTATCACGTACGATGCAGACAGGTAACACACATTTATTCTGTGATTGTCTCAATGTTTGCCTATGTTGTGTATAGAACTTTTCTACCTTAGTATAACTATTTCAAAGTTTTCATTTTCATCACCTCCATGCTCTCCACTGAACTCCTCTTATAAAGCATTCTTTTGCGGTAATCTGAACATTTTTTCTCATGCTGCCCAGAGGAGTCTTCCTTTTACTCTGGCTCTCTGCTGAGTCTCCACTGAGCTTGTCTGTCTGTTTTGTAGTCCTCCCAGCCTTTCTCTCCCTGCCTCCCTCCCCTGATTCTTGATAGTGCTCCTTGAACTGTCACCAGCCATGCTGAACTGTCTGGTTCTGTACTTGGTGAAGTTTTTCTCACTCCCTGTGGAATGAGATGAGCACATCTTCCTACTTGCCCAGAAAGCAGCCTGGTTTCTGTTAGGGAGAGCTGGCATCTTGGAAGAACGTCACCTCAACACTCACAACGAAATGTTACCTGTGGATTTTTGTTTGCTTGCTTGCTTTGTTTTCTAACCTTCGAAGCATCATTTGGCTGTGGCAGAGGCAGGCATATTTCAAGTGCTATCAGCAAAGCATAGAAACATGACTTCTGTGCATGCGTTATCTACTCTTTTCAGGCTCTAAGTGAGGGTTGCTCTTAGAATTAGCTAAGAGGGTAGAATAAAGAGGGAGTTTCATGGAAGAAAGGATTTGCAGAGAATATAGAACAGAGATCCAGGGGAAAAGGGTTAAGGAAGACAAAAAACAACTAGTTTTTTATAAAGATTAAAGGGAAACCATAAAAAGACTCTGGAAGAGTTCAAAGACATTTAAAAGCTGGCTCCTTTTTTTTTTTTTAAGTATCATTTTCTTTTGCACAGATTTCCCAAGCAATCCACCTGGCTGACCTCACTGCTCTCTCATCCATATGGAGGTCTCTGGCAGAGTCCAAGGAGTTATAAACAAAAACATATAAACAAGAACCCTGGAAATAGAGATTCAGCTATGAACACATCCAGTAGATGATGTGACATTACTGAAGAGTCACTGCAGTCCACCTGACCTTGATCTTATCGGGTTCCTTCATTCCTATAAATGTGCCTGTGTAAACCAGCACCTCAGCCAACAGCCTCTTTCAGGGGAAAGATATTTATTTGCCTGGCATCTCTCTCATTCCTCTGCCCTGAGATGTCATTGTCAGGTCTTGGGAATTACAGTATCGGTCTGCCTCACTAGCAATGCTGTCAGCGCGAATACATTTCTTACATGTGTGTCACACACAGTAATTCTGCCAATGGCCAGTATTCTCCTTTCTTCCCCCGCCTCCTCATTATCCCCACACTCCCATTCTCCCAGCTGCCTGGAATCTGGGGCCAGCCTTGGGAACAGCCCTGCCTCTCAGGAGAGAGACTGATTTGCTACGCAATTCACCCTAAACAAGGAGACCTTTCCTTTAAAAATGAAAAGTGTTTTATATCCCCCTGAATTAGGATAATGCAATATTTCTTGTAAACCTGGAAATTAAAATGCAGACAATACACGCCCTTCAATTTCTTTTATGGTCTTCAGAGGTGAACCCAGGAACAGTTGTAAATACGTATCAGGGTAGCTATCAGCCTGGAGGTATTGAAACGCCACTGTCAGCAATGCCAAGTGTCGCTGCCTGGCACCGTGAAAAGCCCCAATAAATTTGTCCCCACCCTTCATCTCACTTCCATTTCTCTACCCTGTCTACAATGACTTTGAGACTGGTAAGAAGCGTTTCGAGGTGCCACTCGAGCAGCCGTGTGGTCTGGAATGCGTTATAATGTTATGTCTCAATTACAATATTCTTTGGTTGATGCGGACGGCAGGCACAGCCGGGATCCAGCCTTAGAGTGCACTGCCACCTCCTGGAAAACCCTCCATACAGGAGGCCAGCTGGCATGGCTCTTCTCATGCCACCAACCAAAAAGCAAGA